GTGTCATGCTTAGCAGGTTCCTCTGGATCTAAGGTTTATCCAGTGGGGAAAGGAGAGCTCATGGCAGATGGACGCTTCCAGTATTCCAAGGCATTCCCTTGGAGGCCAGCTTAGCTCCATGGGGCACACTGGGGGAACTGGCAGGGTTAAACAACTTGCTGTCAGCTAAGAACAAAGAAGGGGGCTCGGGGAACTTACAGCCATCAGTGCCAGATTGCAATCTCTTCTGATGAGAGTCCAGCAGTCTGCCTTGCCTGCTTAGAAATCCAACCTCTGAGAGAAGCCTGCGGCTCTGGCAACCAGATAAGTACAGGATAGGCGGAGGTCCCGCCCAAAAACGGAGGTCTGGCCAACAGTAAAACTCAGCGCAGACTTCCAGCAATGGTGGTGGACCAATCAAAAGGGCCACATTCCTTGGTTTCCTGATGCGCTCAAAAGGCGACCTCTGGTGGTTAAAACTTGCCAGCTGCTCAGCCTAGTGTGGTGGTGCACTGGCCACCTTCCCCCCCCCACACACACACACCCACCTCACCCCATCCCGGACCTCCGTTAATCATGCCATTCCTGGGAGTCAAAATGATGAAGGGATTAAGCAAACGGAAAAGAAAAACAATATGCAGGCAACCGTATGGTGATTAGCAGCGGGAAAGGGGGTGGGACCGTAGAAGAGAGCGGAGGGGGCATAAAAAGTGATGTAGGGAGACTTGACTTGGGGTGGTAAACGCACAATACAATATACGGGTGATGTATTATAGAATTGTGTACTTGAGACCTATACAATTATATTAGCCAATGTTATCCCAATAAATTAAATGAAAATAAAAACCCCGCTGGCCACGTGACGTCAGAGCAGCAGCTGTTCTGTCCACTTCCTGCGACAGAGCTTAGGCAGCGACCCAGTCCGCCAACACAATGACCTCTAAGAATCAAAACCCGCTGGCCACCTGCCCTACCACACGCCGACCACAGACAAGGCAATTATGTCGGATAAGCCGTTAGATATGCCGCATATGCGGCAACTCCTGGGAGTGAAATTCAAAGGCAGTGTAGCCGCGGGAGGGGGATGACATTGGAAACAAAACCCGCTGACCATGTGGCTTGAAAGTGACAGCCGACCGGTCCACCCACAGATTGAACACCAGAAGACATTACAAGCTGCCCACTCAGCCTAGAGCAGCGTCTCTGCTGTCAGTATACACCACAACCCCTGGGAATCAAACAGCTTTGGAGTGGAAGCAACTCCTTTCTGAAAAACAGTAATCTGAAGTAAAGATAATTTCTTTGGGGAACAAATATGCCCGGACATGTGGCCTGGAGCAGCAGTACAGGGATTTGACTATCAAGGGTTGCCGTGTACGCGGCAAGCTCTACTGGCTCATCTGACACGTTCCCCAGGGAATTGTCTTGTCTTGGTCAGCAGGCAGCTTTGGTGACCCTAGGCCAGTGGGTTTTGATTCTCAGGGATCATGGCAGCCTGGGTTGCAGCCACCCCCAGGCTGATTAGAATGGTGGTTTTCAGGGGCTAAGGGGTAAGGAAAATGGGGAGATGCCAATCAAAAAGCACAAACTTTCGATTTTAAGATGAATAAAATCGGGATGAATAGCTGGGGATCTAATAATGTACAGCTGAGCATTTGCTCCCTCTTCAGGAGCACACTGACAACCAGTTGGCAGCTCCTGCATTGAGCGTCTGCCCCCTGGTGGTCACTGCACATCATAGCGACTGGTATTATATACATGATTTCTAAGAGTAGATCTGGAGTGTTCTCTCTCTATATATATACACACAAAAGATAGTTTATTGGATTGTTCTAATCATTTCATAATGTATATTATATATAATCACATTGTAACTCTTAAATGTGTACAATTTTATTTTTCACTTATATTTGAATAAAGTTGGGGAAGGGGAGCAGAGGCAAAAAGAATTCTCCTCAGTAAAAACTGAAGTGCCTTTTACTCATTTTGGAAGATTTCCCATTTCAGATAGTACTGCAGACTGAGTCCACCGTGGAATAGATAAAGGTCAATGGAAAGCTACTTTAGCACATTTACAGGTTCATAACCTAGATACCTTCTGTGAAGGAAAATTACAAGTAGATGTTTAGAAAGCTTAACAAGTATATTCATTGCATTAATTAACTGAATAGGTTGTGTTAAATACAACTATGATACTTTGTATCTCTTTACATCCTTGCATCCTCTTCTCTGCCAAAGTGGGAACTGAAGGTTTGATCAGATTAGATTTTTCCAAGTTCTCTATTCTATTTACACCCTTGTGCCTCAGCTTATTAAGCTTAAGTAATATCTGTGTTATGTGTGAAATACACAAAGTATAATATAACATATACTAGAGCCCTGACCGGTTTGGCTTAGTGGATAGAGCATCAGCCTGCGGACTGAAGGGTCCCAGGTTTGATTCCGGTCAAGGGCATGTACCTTGGTTGTGGGCACATCCCAAGTGGGGGGCGTGCAGGAGGCAGCTGATCGATGTTTCTCTCTCATCGATGTTTCTAACTCTCTATCCTTCTCTTTCTCCCTTCCTCTCTGTAAAAAATCAATAAAATATATTTTAAAAATAAAATAAAATATACTAGAGGCCTGGTACACAAAATTCACACATGGGGGGGGGTCCCTTAGCCCAGCCTGTGCCCTCTCACAGTCCAGAACCCTTTGGGGGATGTCCACCCACCAGCTTAGACCCGATCCCCAATCTCCCTGGGAATCGGGCCTAAGCTGGCAGTCAGACATCCCTCTTGCAGTCTGGGGCTCTCACAGTCTGGGACCCCTCGCTCCTTACCCCCTGCCTGCAGTGGAGGCAGGAGAGGCTCCCACCACAGCCACTGCGATCACCAGCCATGACCCTGGATTCTGGCTGAGCGGAGGTCCCCCAGTGGAAGTGCATCAACCACCAGAGGGCAGCTTCTGCATAGAGCATCTATTCACTAGTGGTCAATGTGCATCATAGTGACTGGTCGTTCCACCATTTGGTCGACTTGCATTTAGGGTTTTATTATATAGGATTATATAGGATAATGGATGTGTATTCATGAATTACTATCTATAGATCAGAAATGCAGAACAGCTTAGCAAATTAATGCTTTATATAACTGCACATATTTTCATAAAGTGGGTCATTATATTCTTTTTCTTTAAAAATATACTTTTATTGATTTCAGAGAGAAAGGGAGAGAGTGAGTGAGAGAGAGGTAAACATCAATGATGAGAGAGTAACATTGATAGGCTGCCTCCTACACAACCCCCCACTAGGGATTGAGCCCACAACCCAGGCATATGCCCTGACTGGGAATTAAACAGTGACCTCCTGGTTCATAGGTTATGCTCAACCACTGAGCCACACCAGCATGATTTCTTTCTCTTCTTGCTGGTATTGCTGCCTCTTTCTGTGTGCCTTATTGTGAAAGATTACTCTTTAAGTAGTTTAGGGAACTTTCCCTGCCTTTGCACTATATCCTACTATGCTCCATCTGTGTTAAGTGCACAAATATTTGAGAATACAATGTAAAACACATTCACAATTTATCCAGTTCCTAAGGCTGTGAATGATACAAGGGGCTTCTTTAAGAGCTTGGCAAATTAATTCATACAAAGTGAGTGGATATATTTTCATAAATTCATGTTTGGTATTTTTCCAACTATCTACGTTCCTTGAACTTTATCTAGTCTCATGTATTCTTTTAATCCTCATCTTTCAGAGTTCTCTTTGTGTCTCTTTCAATCTCTTATTTTCTGCTTTGTCTTTACTTAACCTTTGCTACATGTGTAAAGACACAATATACTAGTATACAATGACCATAATATACTTATTCTAATGAATGGTCAAATTTCTAGGAAAGATGGAAAAATTAGATCATATACCCAAATCTTCCTCTTAGAAAATTAATTGCAAAATTTTTCCAAATGTGGGAAAATGGAATCAGTGTTGAAATAGGGAATGGTATAAACAATTAGCCACAGATTTTAAAGACTTTTATTCATTTATTTAACACATGTTTGAATCTGCAGCAAAGAGCAGGAGCCCTCTGGTTAGAATTACTTCATAGCAAGGACTGACAGCATTCAGAGAGAAAGAAACTCATACAAAATAGAACTTCCATAGGTTATA